GAAGTCCAAGATACAAGAAATAAGTGAACTTTTAGAAGATCTCTGTGAACTCAGAAACGATCTTGGACTGAAAGAGATTCTCATTTTTTATGCCAAAAAATCTAGTTGGTCTGTGTTTGGTGTACAGGACCAGTAGGTCTTCTTCTTGATGTTGAAGGGCATTGACACGGGTAGATGCTGCAAAGACTATGCTTAAAGGATAAATTTCTGAAGTTACAGATTAGTCGAAGTTCAAAAGTTATTTGTAGTATGATAAATCAGCAGAATTGTTGCCTTGTTTGTTGAAGATTTGTTTCTTATATAGAGAAAAAAAGGCGGGATGACAATCATCATTATGAATATATAAACATAAAACATTTATTTATTTCTTCAGACAAATTAGTGCTGATCATAGTTGCACATAATTATATGAAATTTTATCCCGAAAAAGTATATGCTTCAACAAAAATCACACAGTTGGTACATTACAAATTCTTAAAGGGATTGATGACTTACCTGTCCCGTGACAAATGGTACTATCAAGTTGAGTAAGTTCATCTAGGCCAGAGGCAGCCATACAGTAAAACAACCTTTTTTTGAAACACTTTCGTAGTGCCATATGGAACCGTCCTGGAGCTCGAGGCTTTAATCTTTCCTCAGCAGTACCCACAACATGACTAACATTAGCTGCTTCTGCCGAATAAACAAATTTGAAAATGGGAAAAATATGCAATAAGTTCCAGTATCATGAGGGTTTTAAAGCATTATAAGCAATTGCTCCAAGACAATTTATTTAGTCGATAATTAAGCGATTTGTTACATGAATGACTACTCGATAAGCAGAACTGACAAACCAAAAATAAGAAGTTACAGAAACATCATACTGGTCAATCAGCCACATCGAGAGAGAAGACTAGAGATTCTGAATAACGTATACACCTATATATATGTGTTTTATTAGGTTGAGTTCGATTGATTCAAGTCCTTTTCAGTAAATCTCTATAATATTAATTCATATTTATTTCTGGGGTGCATGAAGCTAATTATACATGCTATTTGTAATCTCAAACTCATTCGGTAAAGCCATTTTCTCATTCCGCCCACTATCAAAATCTAAAAATAACTTTTACTCTATGCACTCACTTAAACATCAAATACTGAAGTAATGAATTATTTACATACCCATTAAACATTTAATGGTTAATATCTATTACATAACCATTTTTATGAGTTTTAGAATTTAGATTTTTTTCGTGCTAATTATTGATGCAAATAAAACCTATAAATTATACTTTTACTACATTCTAGCAATTGGATAACGTTAACATTTAGACTATCACGCACACACATATTAAGCAAAGTTTATGCTTTGAAGCACCTGCTACCCTGACTCTCAAACTTAAAAACACCATTATTTTCATCCTACTAACTCACTTGATCTTCATTGCGACAATGCATCGAACACTTGAAAATTACCAATAAACCAGGCAAATCCATTACATTAAAATAAGAAAACATTAGTCAAAAAGATTAAAATAGTCATCCATTAACTAACCATCGGAAAAATTAAATTTTCTCGAATTAGAGTTCCGTTTCAAGAAAAAATTCTAACCTCCATAAACAGGTCCGCAGCTAGCAGCTTCCTAATTTGTAAAAAAAATTGTCTCAAGCTGCAATAAGGAGTTTTCACTTGTAGAGTTTCATGTTCAGAACAGCTGTTGTCAAAATCTCTTGGAGTTTTAGTGAAACCCCCGCATGAATGATTCTTAAATTCATTAAGGGAACCATTCAATATTTTCCCAAAATGATAATGTCCCAATTCTCCCATTTTCCTAAGGCTCTACAGAACAAATGAAAGATTGCATATCTTAAATGATGCTACATTGACTTAAATAATACCACAATTCTTTCACGGTAACACAGTTTCTCTTCATTGTGGCGGTTCACCGAACATTCTCTTCCTCTCAAACCGTAGTTTTGTATTGCTCATTGGAAACAATTCTGGCTTTGAGCTCCAGAACGCGGGTCTAATTTATAGGTTAAATTTTTAGAATGACTTCAAAATTTAGGGTTTGGGAGTTTTTTCCACCGGTTTTGAGGGGTTCTTAATTAGACTGGTTTTGAGATTTTTATAACCATTATTTGTCAGATTCTCTTCCTCTCAAACCGTAGTTTTGTATTGCTCATTGGAAACAATTCTGGCTTTGAGCTCCAGAACGCGGGTCTAATTTATAGGTTAAATTTTTAGAATGACTTCAAAATTTAGGGTTTGGGAGTTTTTTCCACCGGTTTTGAGGGGTTCTTAATTAGACTGGTTTTGAGATTTTTATAACCATTATTTGTCAGATTCTCTTCCTCTCAAACCGTAGTTTTGTATTGCTCATTGGAAACAATTCTGGCTTTGAGCTCCAGAACGCGGGTCTAATTTATAGGTTAAATTTTTAGAATGACTTCAAAATTTAGGGTTTGGGAGTTTTTTCCACCGGTTTGAGGGGTTTTTATTTTTATTAGATGGTTTTGAGATGTTTATAATCATTATTTGTCAGATTTTTTACATTAGTTTTGAATAGCTCAAAACCTCAAACACCCCCCCAACCACCACAAGCCCCCCACCCCCCCCCCCCCCCCCCCCCCCCCCCCCCCCCCCCCCCCCCAAAACTAGTGTAATGTATTTTTGAGGGGTTTATAAAACCCCCCGGGGTGTTTTGGTTAGTTTTAACATTTTATTCCAAATACCTATCCACAAAACTATCCCAACTACATTCAAAATTTTTTAACCATATTATGCGCGTCTCCAACTTTATAAATATAAAATAATTTTAAGCAATCACAAAAAAAAAAAAAAATTATTAAAATCTCATTCTTGATGCTTTTTTGGAAAAGTAGAGCTATAATTTTTCAATCATTCTAAATGTTGTAAAGAATGGCGAAGAAGGATAAAGAGACTTGATCATATTTGAAGTTATAAATATTAATAAGTAGGAAACAAATAAAGAACCATTACCTATAATTGAAAAAAACAAAACTCCCAAGTACTGGTTGAAGTTGGGATATTTTTATGGCATATATGCAAATTATCATTTAAAAAAACTGTCACAACTGTTGGAAAATAAACTTTCAAGCACGAGTTGGGTATTTTAAAAACTGCTACTAAAAACCCCTCAAAACTGCTACAGTGGTTTACCCTTAAAACAGCTATGGTGGTTTATCCTCATAACCACTATCATAAAACTCCCAAGCGGATCCTATGGTAAATATCACTTAGGTCCATGTAGAATCCTAAAATAGGGGCTTTTGTGATATATTGATAAATATATGGGGGTAAACTAACATTCACAAAAACGTACAACATGTCCATGTAAACAAGAAGTCGATATCCTATAAATACAACTAGTCTAGTATATTAAATGGTTAAAGCAATGTCATTGTGAATTTATTGACGACATTCCATTTCCACTCATACACTGTCATTGAACTTTAACGACATTCCATTTCTACTCATACACTGTCATTGAACTTGCACGACATGGTTTTAGTCATTAACGACGTTGTATTTATCATTAAATGATGTTGTATTTATTAGGGTGTTCAAAAGAACCGATTAGGATTGAAACCGACGGGTATCCGGGGTTTGGTTCCGGTTCCTACCCAGAACCGGCCGTCAACAGGTAGGTTCCGATTCTAAATTTTTGGAACCGTTACTGTACAGTTTTGGTTTCGGTTTCCATAGTTAGGAACTGGAACCGGAACCGGAACCAGAACCGGGAACCGAGACTAATATAAAATAAAATTAAAGAATAGGGTGGTTAATAAAAACTTTTGTAGAAAAAGTAATGTGAATACATTTATATTTATATTTCATAATATTTAAAGTAAGTTGGTTTGACTTTTGAGAATCTACCTTTACAAAGTAATGGAGTTTGTAATTTTGAATACATTTATATTTATATTTCATAACATTTAAAGTAAGTTGGTTTGACTTTTGAGAATCTACCTTTACAAAGTAATGGAGTTTGTAATTTTGAATTTATAATTTGTAATTTTATTTTTGTTAACAAGTGCAAGGGGGTATTGTAAGTTTTTAAGGGTTTTTTTGCTATTTTAAAAACTTTTGGGGGGTACTTGTAATTTATAGGGTACCCAGAACCGTTATTATAGGTTCCGGTTCCGGTTCCTTAAAAAATTGCAGGGTACTTGAAACCGAACACCCATAGTATTTATCACTGAAAACGACACCATTTAATATACTTGACGATGTTGTGTTTATCACTAAAAAGTAAAAACGACATGTCGTACGCCGTTGAAGCGACAAGTTGTATATATGAGATAAATATCAATTAAATTTTACAACTAGCGGATTGAAGTGATACTTACCATTAAAAAAAATTTAAAATTAAAGTCCTGAAGTACAACTCTTGCGACTGCTTTAACAGGTTATCCCGAGGGTCTGATTTCTGTAGATAGTGAAGTCCTGCAACAATGCCTATCTCCATAGCTATTTGATTTTCTTCACCAATATTATTTTCTGGAAACATTACCAGCAGTAGCAAGGCCAAGAAACACACGATAAATATATTCATTATTTGCAGAAACACTAAAGAAATAAGAAACTCTTGTTTTCTTATTCCTTACTGGTAAATGAAATGAATGCTGTATGATTCGTCTTTCTTTTATTCATATTTCGTCAAACTCTAGCTTAAGATTATAGACAAAACAACAATTTGATTAATAAAATCTTAATCTCTAGTTAATTAATATATGCTAACTGCAGTTTGATTAAGAGAGGAAAAACAGAAAGAATAATTACTAGAATGATATGAAAAAGTAAAAAATATGAAACGATAATAGAGCAATTGCAGAAGAGGGTTGTGCAAATGTAAATGGTCTAAGTTCATGGCAATTTTAGCCATCTCTTTCAGAATCAACATCACATGAATAAGAAAAAAAAAGAATAAAAGAAAGGATGAAACAATATATTGAAACTCAATCGTTTATCCATAAAAACAAACTCAAATCTCCAAATCCATATCCATATTTACATAGAATCATCTATGATGTCTAGCCATAGTACATTTGCTTGTTCCATAGTCAATATAGATATAACCATCATCATCAAATATTGTCAATGGTCCTCGCATCCACAAATTAAATTGACTGCTTACTTCAGGCTCTAAATCACTTCCATCTTCCTCTCCACCAAGTTCAATAACCCATTTCTTCTCCTCTAATTGTATAAATCTTATGGTGAAACTCATACCAGGTATCTCCGATGCGGTCTCCTCCATCAAGCAACATTCATAAAAATGGACTGCTTCCAACTGAAGGTAGTTGAAAAAGAGAATACCAATACCCTCTCTATACAAATCAGCATAATCAAACTTTAGTACCTTCAATTTGGGCATGTTTTTAATCATAGCTTGTGCATTACTTGCCTTTAATTCCATGCCCACAACAGAGTATGATAAAAATAGTGTTTTAAGATCAGGGCAATTTTTCCCCATCTCTTTTACAATTTCAGTAAAAAATGCACCATCGTTAATGCCTCGGGATTCTCCAAAATTCATATGTTTAACATTTTTCCAGCTCTGTATTGCTTTTATGAAGCCTCCTACTGTTATCCTTGATGAGCTGAATAGAGCTAAGCTTTCAAGATTAGGTGTTCTGTAAAACATAATTGATGTAAGCAGAAAAAAATAAAATAAATAGAGTTAGAGCCTGTTTGACTGGCTTATCTAATGCCCCAAAGAGCTTATTTAAAGCTATAAACACTTTTGAATTTTTTTAAGATTGTTGGGTTGCATTTCAAAAGTGTTTATAGGAATTCAAGCTATTTTACGGTACTTGATCTATTTATGTATATTAATGCCATTTTTGGTAAATTTATACTAGAAAACTTTTTTCTTTTTTTCTAAGTAAACGACTAACAAATTTCTTATAAAAGCTATATCTTTCTAAGCTTTACTCTAATAAACTCTACTTTTAAAAGTTCTATTCGAATAAGCGGCATCAAATAGACCCTTGTAATAGTTACTTGGAACTGAAAATGTTTATGCTAAAAAAATAACTTTGAATATATAGCATACCTATTCGCGAGATGAAGAAGAGTTTCATCTGAAATGGCAACATCTTCAGGAATTATGATACTCTCGATAGACAATCTCCAATTCTCCAAAGGAAATCCGTATGCATCCTTACCATTCAATATCATCTGCAAAGGCTCCCTTAAATTCTCATCTTTGAGCTCAATATTCTCAGAGATTAATCCCTCCTCCACACCAACATATTCTGGAATTGCAGAAGCCTTGATAAGACTGAAATCAAGCAAATTTTTTCCCCAAAACAAGACATCCCAACAAGCTAATCTCCACGAATAGCACACTGGAGAGACACAAAGAGCCAACTCTTGGATGTCTATGCTTCTAAATATATTCTTGAGTATATTAATATCTAAATCTTCCCATCTTCTTAAGCCCGGAGGAGATGATTCTTGCATCTTAGAGCTACCAAATCTTCTTCTCTTGTACTTATAATATATTTGGTGTTCTGCAGTAAATGGAAGTTTATATTGTGTCAAGTAAGCCATAAATTTGTATCTACATTACTATAACAAATTCACTTGTATCGTTGTACGTTGTTATAACAAATTTAACACAATAGTAGATTGGTATGATATAAAATGGATACCTGTCCCTAGATAATTAGCACTATTGGGTTCGGTCTGCCCTTGAGCTCGAGGTCCGAATCGTTCTGAAGCAATACCTTCGTTGATCATTCCAGTGACTAGTTGGCTTTGTTGATGATGACTAAATTAACTCTGTTGAAACTTATATTATGACTAGGTACGCTGTTATCGAATAAATCAATTTAAAAAGCCATTATAAAAGTGAGATAACATGCCCGATAAGACATGAATTCTAGTATCAGACGGGTTCCAAGGCATTAAAATAGACGATTGCTTGACGAAAAATTTATTAACTCGATAATAACAATGACTACTTAATAAGTAGAATCGACAAACAAAATATAAAAATTGCAGAAACATCATACCAATTACACAGCGAGAGCGAGAGCATGGTTCAGATTTTGTATAACATACACACTAATATATGTATATGATAGTGCTTTATTAGAATTAAGTTTGATAGTCCAGATTTTGTAGTGTATAAGAATCATATGAAAAAAAAAAAAAAAATAAATAAAGAGATAAAGGAGCAATTGATTGATTGAAACTATTTTAAAAGAGAACACAAAAATTATTGATGGCAATAAGAGATGAGAGATAATACCTTTCACGGAAAAAAAAATTCTTTTTCTTTCCAGGAGTGCAGAACGGCTGGAGGGTTCTTCTGCTTCTTCCAGGATATATAAGATAATAATAATAAAATAAAAAGAATTTTATATAATTTTTGGTATTTGAAAGTTTGATTTCTACTGGGACACAACAAGGTAATTTTGGTGAACGGGTGAAATTGTAGTTGGAAACAACGTGAACAAAACTCAAACCGACTCTGGAATTCCTAATTCTTTCAACTTCCTGCATTTGTGTAAATCCAAATGATAATAATATTAATTAAAATTTTTTGAAATTAATGGGAATGATTATGATTATTTTAAGATTAGAATTCGAATATAATTGGATTATGAGCTGTGGGAATTAGGAGAAAATTTTCCACTTGTCATTTGTCACTACCAAAATGAATGGACTTTGATCAAGCTCGTTTATTCACACCACTAAAAATTACGACTCCGCGAGGCCCTCCCTAGGGGTGCAGTCGAGGGAGCGACTTGGGCTCGGCTCGGGTGCCCATTCGAGGTGAGTTCGAGCCACTCAATACTCGGCTCAAGAGGCTTGTGAGCCTCCACGAACTCGAAAGAGTATAGGTGTAAGTTTTTCGAGTATGAGGGGGTATAGTAATTTTGTTATAAAATAATCAATTTTTATATTAGTAACTGCAAATAATAAATATATTGAATACAAAACAACCAATATATATATTATATATATATATATATATATATATATATAATATATATATATATATATATTTATATATAATATATATAAGTACTAATTAATCTAATAATAACAATTCATTTAAATATATAAAAATATCACAAGGGAGGGTGTTTTGATGGAATCCATGCCTATTCCTCATTGGAATAGGGTTTTGACACTATATAAGTGCATGTGTATGTTAAAGAAAATGTTTTTTTTCTCATTTTTCATTCATTGAAAGGAAAAAGAGGCAGCCCCCTTTTTCTCTACCCCTCCACGTTTTGCCTTGCCTTTTGAATCAAAGTTCTCTTTGATTTTCAAGCTGATTCTTGAAGCCAATAGAGGATCTAGCAAATCCCTCTTTGATTCTTTGGATTGTCTTCGTGTGTATCACCGTTCGTTCGATCCTATTCTTGGATCAGTAGCGAAGTAGATTCAGAGACATTTGAAGGAGCCTTCAAATGTGCATAAGATCTCTGATCCTTGTCTGGATTAATGTTATATTTGTTCTTTTCAATTTAAGCATGTAAAATACATACATATCAGACCTTGATCTTGGGTTGTTCAAAGTAATCGATGGGAAATATTTTGGTTTTTCGTTGCGTTTACCCATCGATTTACTTACAATGGTATATATAGATGACCAAAATCCCTCATGCATCTCTATGGATCGGGTCGAATAACTCATAGGTTCAGAAAGAAAGACCAGGTTCTAAAATGAAAAAAAAAAATATCCTAGGCAAGGGCTATGCCGACTTACATGAGAACAACTCCTTCTCCTATTCAAACATTCCCAAGTGATTGGGGGGATCAGTCAGCAATAGTAGGGCCATCAAAAGGAAAAAGTAGGGAACATCTCGCATCTCAAGAATCGATAGATGGTGGGCAGGGAGGACTTTTTCAGTAGGGCCTCTTCTTTTGGTTAAGAGGCATCAATCACTACCTTATTTGCAGGTTCAAATGAGCTAGCTTTATTTGTTTTCTAAGGTGTGAAAAGCCCTTCTCAAATCTCTCATCTCCTTGTCCTAGCAAGCATCGGAACCTGGTTCCAGTGGAAGAGAAGTTGCTCTTAGTTAAAGTAGGCTCCTACCCATCAATTGTTATGGCAGTCTAGTCAAGGTTGAGCAATATCCGTAACTGGGGCTATCAAAGGTCCCCTTACTAAAGTTCTACAAGGTGTAACGTTTGGAGATCTGGGAATGAAAGACTGTTTCTAAGGATTTTTTTCCTCGCATCTTTCGTAAAGGCATGTGGCATAGGTGTTCGTGGATTCTTCGGCTAGGTGTCCATCCACTCTATCCGCATTATCCGTTGAAATACCATCCGAGGAGAGTGCACTACCAACAACAGTAGGTGGGGTTTAATGGTTTTGAACCCCTTGAGTTTTTCCACCTGACCAGTTGAGGGTGAGGCATCCAATGTAGATAGACAACCCTCTCTCCGAAGGCAGTGGAGGAAAACGGGCTATGGGATGGGCTACTAAGGTCAAGCCTTAGCCTCATGTACGGTTGGATGGGCAAAGGGATGCCCTTTCCTTCTTTTAGCCTTGTGAGATACGTAAAGTCATACCCATGTTAAACATCTTGCTCCTTGGGATTGGCCTGAAGTAGGTTAAAAGGGGTCTCCCTTGTAAGTTGATTGCTCTAGTGTTAGGCCGGAACAGAGTGTCAGCAGTTCTAAAGAAGACAATTGGTTTTTCTTCCTTGCCTTGAGCAGGGACGATGAAGATTGCCCCCTCGGGTTCTTGTATGGCTGATGTCTAGTGTACTTTTGGGAGTGTTTAAGCTGCACGTACCACTCTCCTTAGTTTCTCTGCTTCGTTATGCGAGGCCACGTCTTCAATCACGATTACATTGACGACGAAATTCTTCGGCTTAGCCTTCGGGACTCTTATTATGTGTGTGTGTGTGTGTGTGTGTGTGTGTGTGTGTGTGTGTGTGTGTGTGTGTGTCTATATATATATATAGTGAACAGTCACTGTTCACACACTGTAGCAGTTCCTGTTTATTACTATTCGTCCATAGCACTGTTCATTTCTTAGTTAAATTAAGAATTAGATAATTCTAGAAGGTTTTAATCTAGAAGAACTCTAGAATTGATTATAGGTTGCGCTTGGTTAGCCTGGAGGGTGCGCTTGGTCAGCTTGTAACCGTTGGTTAGCCATGTTAGGTGGTCTCAGAGGTGGTCCCATGATCTAGGAGAAAAATTGGAACTTTTAGGTTAGAATTATTTTAGAAATGTCTAATTTCTTAAGGAGATTAGGAAGTAGCAGTAAGCGAGATGGTAGTAGTAGTAGTAATGCTATTAGAATTCACACTATTAGCCAACAAATGAATAGAATAGAAGACAATACTACACACATAATAGCAAAATTTTCAAAAACCCCCAAGAAGGAGATAGTAGAAATGGAAAATTCAACTTCTAATTCAGCACCTCTTTATTCAAAAAAATATGTTAAACCATTTTTTGAACCTTTTGATATACCAAAAGAAGAAATTGTTAAATTCAATAATCACAATACTATTTTAGAAACTATTAGTAAAAAACTTAATGAATTATCACCATCTAAATCAAACATTAATGTTCTTACAAAATCCAACCCTGTAGAAGAATTAAATCAAAACTTTCAAAACTTATCCATTAATAAAATGAGAAATAAAATGTGATATCCTAAAACTCGAAACTATTACCCAAGACCTTTCTTACCAGATATACAGTTTGAAGATTTAACACAAATATCAATATCTTCCTATAATGGAACAGGAATAGATGAATGGAATATGAATGGATTAGCTGAACACCAAATATTAAATGTTTTACAGGAAATGACTATGTTAGCATTAGCTTATAAATCTCATGACAACACTTATCATCAAGTAGCAAAAATATAAGTCTCGGGATTTACAGGAATGCTTAAGAATTGGTGGGATAATGATTTACTAGAATCAGATAAATATCACATATTACATGCAACAAAAAAGATTAGAAAAGTCAAAACAGAAGGTACTAGTCAAATGGAGTATGAACAACAAGAAGGAGACGTTGTAGCTAGCTACATTAATTTATGCAATAACCAAAAACTTTGTTAGAGACCCAACAAGCTTTCAGAAAAAATCACAAGAAATATTATCAAACTTAAGATGTTCAACCATGGAAGATTTTAGATGGTATAAAGATACGTTTTTACAAAAAGGATTCACAAGAATAGACTGTAGGAAACCCTATTGGAAAGAAAGGTTCCTAGATGGTTTACCTAGATTATTCAGTCAAACTATTAAAAATGCATTATACAGAAAATATTATAGAAATATACCTTATGAAGAATTAACATATATGATTTAATTAGTTTTATTAACAATGAAGCTTTAATAATTTGTACTAATTTAAAATTAAAAGCTAAGTTAAAAAATGAATTAAAACATAAGAAAACAGAATTAAGTGGATTTTGTAGTCAATATGGTTATAAAAAAATATTACTCACTCTGTTAAATATAAAAAAGATAAAAAACAAAAAACAATATAGAAAACCTTATTATAAAAGAGATTATAAATATGAACAAAAATCTTATGATAAGCCTTATAAAAAGAAAAAATATTCCAATAAGAAAATTTCTAAAAAACCTATCACATGTTGGAAATGTAAACAACAAGGTCATTATGCTACTAAGTGTCCTATGAAAAATCAAATAAAAAATTAGAAATAAATTCAGAATTAAAATAACAATTATTAAATATTATTCAAATAGACTCTGAAGAAGAATCTAGTTATAATACAGATAATGAAAATATGATTTATAAAATTCAAGAAAACTTTTCTAAAACAATGAGTGAGT